GTGGAAGTTCCATCTATGTATCTTTGTATGTGACCATATTGTTGCAAGTTGCCAGTTATATTTTTAACCTTAAGCACTATGACTTAATGCAGTATGCTAACATGGTTACACATCTCTACATTGTTATGCTTTGCATGTTACCAACATTTTAACTGGCATTCATACACCATGTTTGAAATTCTGGGCATGAGTTTCCTTTTTTCAAAAAAATATGTTGTGGGCAGAATGTTTTCTTATTGACTAACTGTCACCCCACTGCTAAGAAAATGTTGCCCTATTTCCGATCAACACATTAAGACCTGATAGGTAATAATAGGTGAGTTTTCTAGCGGATCGGAGACATCGACACTGGTATTCCAATCTAGAACAGTACAGCACAGGAACAGGTCTTTTGGCCCACTATATTTGTGCTGACCATGATACCATTCTAAACTAATCCCATCTTGCATATGCTCCGTATTCCTTTATTCCCTACTGTTCATTTTTCTGTCTAAATGCCTGTCAAACATTGTTATTGTATTTGCTTCTACCATCTCCAGGCACCTATCACCCTTTGTGTGAAAAAAAAACTCCTTTAAACTCACCTTCTCTTGACCTCTGTTAATCCTATGCCTCCAGTAATTGACATTTCCACCCTGGGGAAAAAAGACTCTGACTGTCTATCCTATCTATGCCTCTCATAATTTTATATACTCCAACAGGCACCCTCAGCCTCTGATGCTCTAGAAAAAACATTCCAGGTTTTTTCAACATCCCCTTATGGCTAATACACTTCATTCCAGGTAATATCCTGGTAAACCTCTTTTGCATCCTCTCCAAAGCCACCATATCCTTCCTGTAGTGAGGTAACCAGAACTGCACACAGTACACCAAATGGGGCCTAACTAAAGTTTTATACAGCTGCAACATGACTTGCCAACATTTATATCACTGCCCTGACCAATGAAGGCAAGCATGCTGTGTACCTTCTTTACCACCTTATCAACTTGTTTCACCACTTTCAGAGAGCTATGGACTTGCATTTCAAGATCCCTCTGTATATCAATGCTCCTACAGGTCCATTTACTGTATACTTTCCTCTTGCATTTGACCTCCCAAAATGCATCACCCTCAAACTTGTCTGAATTAAACTCCACTTGCCTTTGCTCCACCTAACTTTTCCAATTTGTTTATATCCTGCTGTGTCATTTGACAACATTCCTCATTATCCACAATACCACCAATTTTCCTGTTTCAGTTCAATTATATACATATTACAACAACAGAGGTACCAGCACTAATCCTTGCACAACACCACTGGTCACAGATTAATGGCCTCCATTCAGACAAACACCCCCCCCATAACTACCCTAAATCTCTTATGACCAGGCCAATTTTGTATCCAAGTTACCAACTCACAATGGATCCCACATGTCTTAATCTCCTGGATCAGCCTACCATGAGGGAGCTTGTCAAATGCTTTAATAAAGTCCATGTAGACACCATCCCGTGTCCTACCCTCATCAATCAAGTTTGTCACTTCCTCAAAAAACTAATCAACTTTGTGAACCAAGACCTCCCCTGCATATAACCACGTTAACTATCCCTCATAAGTTCATTCTTTTCCAAATGTGAGAAAAATCTTATCCCTAAGAGCCTTGCCAGTAATTTCTTTACCACAGATGTAAATATCACTTGTTTATGATTTCCTGGACTATCCCTGTTGCCCGTTTTAAACAAAGGAAGAGTGCTAGCTATTCTCCAGTCTTCTGGGACCTCACCTGTGGCTGAAGAGGGTACAGAGATCTCTGTTAAGGCCCTAGCAATCTCTTCCCTTGCCTCCTTCAATATCCACGTTATCAGAGGCTGGCAGGTTCAGATTTGGATAATTGGAGGCCCCATTGACAACTTGGTTTCCCAGTCAGGAAACAAGCAAACTTGTTTGCCTACTGTGAAACCAGGTAGTTGGGAAGATGGTGAGTTGCGGCCTTTAAGCGGCCATTAATTAACCACTTTAGTGCCTTGATGGGTGGTGAGTCGGCAAGGTTGACTATGGACTTTCTAGTCCAGAAATTTATTAGAAAGGTGGCAAGAAAGGGATAAGTATCTCGTCAGGGCCAACTTGCCCATTATTTCTCACCAATACTTTTCTCTACACCACCAGGGAAGAGAAATTCTGCCCACTGTATTGGGAAAAAAAAGTTCCTCAGTTCTCATATGCACAGATCACAAAATCAGTCCTATGCAATGTTTTTATTCTTATTTTTGAGGCTCAGATGAATAACTGTGTACTTATCAGGCTGCTAAAAGAGTGCTTATGTGTTTTGGTTCTGATTTCCAGCATCTGCAGTTCTTTGGTTTGTTTGGTGCTTATGTGCAAAGCTGCTAACAGAGTGATAGTAGCTGCATTAATTCTGAGTTTGCATGTGTGGTTTTGCAACTCAGGTTATTGTGACCTTTGTCAAAAAGAATGGGTTGGATTTACATCCAGGAAGTTGTCGTCACTACATTCAGTGAGAGTTGCACTGGATCTTGGCTCCAAAACCGTGCATTTACAGTCATATATCTGTGCTTTTTTTTGGTTTTTATTCAATCTGTCTTGTAACTCCTTTCAATACCAGAATTACAAGTCCCTGCAACCAGTTCCATTCTCTCAATTCTAGCCATTTATGCATCCTCCCTCTGCTGCACCAGTGGGGGCTGTTTTAGTAATATGTATCTGAATGCCTGGGCATCTCCTTTTCTGAAAATCCATATCTGACCAAGTTTTTTTGGATCATCTTTGCTTACCATCCTTTTTTTTATTTGGCATCCATATTTACTGATGAAGCTTGTGAAATGGTCTGGAAATGTTTTTTACATTTAGAGGTGATTCATAAATGTAAGTTGGTGAGAAAATAGTAGGGGTGCTGCAGTCTAATAGAATATTTATTGCTAATAAGAAAGTTCCTTTAAAATGTCAGAATCACAGATCTACATTCCCAATGGTAAATAGTATTGCTGCCTCACATGCCCATCTGTCTGGTACCGGATTCCACCACTTAATATCTATTATTTTCAATTTTCTTTATCTTTAAATTATTGTTTTTTTTCAATTTAAAATGTAAAATCTTTGTTTCTTTACAGACTAGCTAACCATGACAAGGGATAATAGATCCTATTAGGTCTTGGAGTTGGGGAGGGGTGAAATTCGCAGACTGGAGTTGGTTACAGAAATCGATTAGGATAAGGCTGTAAAAGGAGGTTTGGGGAGTGGTTTGGCACTTCATGTGTTGTTGATATTGTGGCATATACAGCTAAGGGTATCAGTATAATAGAGGCATTTACACTATGATTGTTGCTGCAGGTAATATTAGTATTGTTGAGGTGGTGCGGGGGAGTTGTACACTCTTCTCAGATGTTACCACAGATTCTTTAGGGATGTTAATACTGTCTGGCCAGTTTTGGCAAGGGCAGGTTGAGAGTGTACTTCTTAGATCATATTAGTGCTATCTCGAGGAATTAATTTCCCATGTAATATGGGAATGGATTACTTTGGTTTGTATTAGTTGGAGAGGTGTACTTCCTGGCAGTATCATCACTGGGGTGGGGTAAAACTACTGAGATGTCAGTGGTGTGCTCTTTTAGGCTTGCAAGTTTATTGTTAATATTACTACTTGGGGTGTGCATTGGATTTCCTTTCTGGATGTTTCCTGCCTCCTACGTTCAAACAATACCTGCTATTACAGCCTTTAATTTCAACCAATGGGGAGAAGAAAAAGATTGAATGATGTCCTCTGTCTTCTGAGACCACATTTTCTGTTATGGCTTTAATGTAAATTGAAGAGTATGATTCAAACTAAACAGAAACGCAAAGACTGAAATTGACCTTCACAGTGCTTCAGTTAAATGTGTTCAGCGATATCAGTCTAATACAATGCTGCCTCAAAGGCTGGAGTGTGTGTGGTTAGTCTAGGATAGTTTCATTTGTTATTTGTTATTTATTTTTTCCTATAATGTTATCATTTCAAACATTTCCCTTTACAAGTCGTAAACGTGGTGATGCAATGACTGTAAAATCCAAGGCGAAAATGTATCAGTCAATACATGGCACCCTCAAATAACAGCTTCTATTAACTAATACTGCTGGGGATGGGTGGGTCTTGGCTGAGTTAGTCCTGTCCCAGTTGGGGATCTTCGCACAGTCAATATAAGGGTTAGGATTATTGCAATCAATTTCAACATTTTAGTAAAGAACTCAACCTCTGCCCTTCTGCTATAGGATGTGAATATTTATATTTTGGAAACAGCATTCAGGTGAATATCTAGTCCCCAATATTGTGATTTATGTGTCATTTCTCCAGATCCATATGAACATTGTTATATTACTACAGAGACGATGTTCTTAGGGTAACTTTAATTCTGGACTAGTGGCAAGAAGTCTTGCCTACCAATAAGCACATTTAGACATAGATAACAATTTTTAATGGCACACTGGTAAAATTCTGACAATAATTGAAAAATCCTAGTCAAGTGTGTGTTAGAAGTTCTGGCATGTGCTACCAGTTGATAAGGCCATCTGTAACCAGCATGAATGCATTAATTATCCATAAATTCTGCTTCTAGACACAAGCATCTAAGTTATTATCAGGATTCACTACAGTACTTGAACTGCTGATAGGTACAAATCTCTAGGCAGTAAATAGGCACATCAGCATATAGTTTCATTACAATCCATATCTTCAACATGAAATACAGAATTTATTGGATTAGGAGTTAAGTACTGAATTAGTGCTGTTGGAAAGCCTAGAATGTCAGCAGGTAATGGGGAATTTTGGTTTAATACACTTGGCTGGCTGGTTGTGTCACATGAAAGATTTTGGTTATTTAGAGGAGATGCCATGAAATGCAGTTAAGAAAAGCCTTGTTTACCTGATTTTGCTCACCATGTCAGTGCTGATCCACATTTACAATGTGTTTTGCATGACTGAAACATCCATTCATCCTCCTATGTCCTCCATCCATCCTCTTCTCCTTCACAGTCATCCAGAGCCAAGCGTAAAAAGAGCATCTTGTCTCGAAAGTTTACCTTCTACAGGAGCAAGGAGAATATTGTGCAGGAGCACACAGGTGATCATGGCCGTAAGTAACTGTAGGCTTACATGAAGTCTGATCAGAGGGAACAACATTCTGTAAACACTAACTCAGTGTGGTGCAAACACTAACATGTCAGTACAATGGTTCCAATGTTCCAAATACTTTTCCATGGACTGTATCAAATGGGGCTTCAGCAGGTCCAGACTGAGGTATAATTTTGATGTAAGACAGTGAGCAGAGTGAGATCTGATATTGGTGTCTATGTTGCAGAATTAACACGTTGTAATTATTTCAATAGCATTCCCAAAATTCATGTAATATCATGTCTGCTCAATCTGAGTTAACACTGAATATATTTAAAACAATTACAATTTAACAGACTAACAATTCTGCATGAATATTCCCTGGTCTCAATGTCATGGAACAGTTAAAATCAATGAAATCCTCAGTAACTGCAGTGGCCCCAGTAGCAACTTCTATTCTGCTCTATCACTGTGCAGGAGTCCAGGTGCTAATTCACTCCTCTCCTCTGTTTCTATATCTCTTTTTGTTTCTGTGTTACTTCTAAATTTTTGCTGTCCGGTGATTGGATCCAGGAGTTCCCTGGATTAAGTGATGACTATTACGGGATGAAGAACCTGAGTAAGTGAGAGACCAACATTTGTGAATGTAGAAATCACAAACAACTACCTTTTGAACATCTGATCTTTCTTCACTTCTGTAATCCCGAGTAACTTCATTAGCATTGCCAGTGCTTCAAGTCCATTTTTACACTGATTACTAAGGACTGCCTCTCTCCTATAATTTCGAAAATGACGACTGTGTTGCAAATTAAATTAAGTCACAAGTTAATAATTTATCAGTTTAATTGTACAACAAGTTCTTAACCAACACTTAGTCATTAATGCAATATAAATCACATAACTCATACCTTATAATTTTGTGCACCATTTGAAGGATTTGTGTCTAAGTTGAGAGATTTTATGTGTTTATAATGCATATGGTTTATAAAAAGAGAATTGAAAAGGGATGATTTTAGTTTGTTTTGTTTATAGCTTTTGCAAATGATTAGTCCCAGCCTATCATAAAGTACATTGCAAAGTGCCCCATTGGATGCTGCAGCTCAGGGTATCAGTGCTATCAACTAGGATGTAAATAGTTGGGGTTATAATTACCTGTTTAATCTGTTTCAATCAAATCGTTGCTTTTTGTTCCCATACTCCAAGGTGGGAAGGTTCATGGATCAACAGTTTTAGTGGTATTTTTAGTAGTACCTTCTGATATCAGTTTCCCATGTAAAGACTACTGCTTAAGTCTCTTGCTTTGCCACATTTTAACTCCATCCCTGACCTGTGCTGCTATGATGTATTATATTACTTGCTCACTGCATATAACTAGCTAATAACTCACTCATGATGTATGAACATTTAGTAAATCCTCAGTTTGGATCCTTTCTCAGACCTAGATCTTCTCATGTCCAGATAGCTAGGAAGCAGACATACCCTGAAAGGTACATTATGGATCTGTTAGAAATCCTGATGCAGTAATCGCTTGGGAAATTTAAACTTCTGGTGGGCAATTGCCCAGCACTTGGAGCCCTGTGATGGAGTCCCCAACTCTGCGTTGGAGACTAACCTTGATAGTTATTTCTAAAAATTTAGAGGAGTTTAAACCTATTCTAACTCTTAATCTGACCTCTCAAATCACTCACTCTGACCCCTTCTCTGGGTATTCAATTGAATTGCTCCATATCACCCTGACCTGCAATTCCTGACCCATCCTGTCCTCACCCACTTAGCTGCTACCTGTATCCCTTCACTTACTTGCCCATCCTACCGCCTTGCCTATTTGTCATTGAACCTGTCACCCACCTGAACTCCTCCTCACCCACCCAGCAGCCACCCTACTCTCTCATCCATTTATATTACACACTTACCCTTTCTCCTTGCCAAAGAGGCTTTGGGCTGTTAAATATTGGAATATGTAAGTTACTGCTGTAAAGAGCAGGTGTATTGGGCCTCTAGCGTTGATCCTGCGCTGTGGTAGAAGGCTTCCTGAATAGGAACACTTTGCGTTTCTGAAGAAACTCAAATCATGGAGCTGTGGAGCAGGCTAAGTGAAAAGGAGCAGTGGCAATCTGACTATTATTGCCACACCTCTTAAGAGTCAGTCCTTGGTTTCTTGATCTCACTTCTACCAGGGCTTTTTTCTGGCAGAATGGACGGACCCATCTGATGAAGGTGCTGGATGAGTCAGGCAGCACACAGGTGGTTGAAAGCCAACTTTTATATCCTATAAAAAATAGTCACTGCTGCACTTGCTAAGATCTTGTACAGCATTGGAAAATGATGTGCGGGAGGGAAGTACATTTCATCATTGTGATGCAACACAGAACAAACTAAGCATTCTGCAATTGAATACCAGCCTATGAGATCATCCTCACCATAGCAATAAAGGATAATGGCTGTGAATGCTCAGGAACTTTATATATTCAGACCTATTATTAGCAGCAGAATCACATCCCACAGGGAACAACAAATTGTTTTGTAGTAAACAAAAATCAAATAAGAATCAGTCTAAGATTTTTGATCAGCACATTTTTCCAAACATACATGAAAATATTCAGTGTTAGTAATGTTCAGGAAGTTACTGTGCCAGTACATTGTAATCAGAAACACGTAACAAAGGACAGTGCCCATCTGTTGTATGCTCCTTTTATAATCTGAAACTCTGGCACCTTGCTTTTTTTGCAGAGTGTATGACGTCCAACACCAGTGACAGTGAAAGCAGCTCCAGTAAGTAACCCCTTCGGGTTCCTTCATTTATTTTTCTTCTCCCTTTTGCAGGTCATTTGTCTCCACAGGTCCTGTCCTCAGGTGGGACAAACGGTTGGGAACACTGACAACCTGCATAGCCTTATCATGAGGCCATCAACATATTCAATTGCTTTTTGGTTGGATAGTCAATCAGGACCTCAGCCCTAATCAGGACTAAAGAAGCGCTTGCAACCCAAGCTTCATTAGCTGTCACCACATAGGATAGAGTTGGAGCCTTCAGCTTCAGTCTCTTTAAAACGAATCAAACAGTTGACATGTACCATTTAAGCTGCATTTATCTAATAGTGAGCAGGACAGTCTGGACTGCTCACCCCCACATATTCTGTGCTTGGGTCAACGTTCTGGTCGGGGAATTCACAAAGATGCAGTTCATTGTTGCTTTTTATTTGCTCCAGCCCTAGCCTGCTATAACACAGGATACACACCAGACTTACCAGTAAGGTGGATACCTTAATATAAATGATGAGTTATCACCAACACTGACTGACTTATAATTCCCTTTTGTATTCTACTTGTGTCTCAAATTGAATTCCTAGTGGATTAGATTTAAGCAAGTGCTGGCAGACTGTACAGATAGATGAAGGGCAGATGGAAATGCAGGAGCAAGAGGATGGTATGGGGTGAGTGAAGTTTAAATGGTGAGGAGGATTTCAGCTGATCATAATGTTTTTCTATTTTTTTTCTTCATAGAGGGTCAGGATGATACTGTTCTATCTTATGAAGCAGTTACTCGCCTGGAGAGTAAGTAGACATTTTCAGATGGATGCTTTTTTGTAGGAAGTTATAATATTGTGTTTGGAAATATTCAGTTAGCAATGTGCAGGAAGATACTGTGCTAATATGTTGTAACCAGAAACCCTTACCCTATCACATAGAATTAGTGGGCTTGCTATACAAGAGACCAAATGAGATTTTTCTGTGCTGTGTCATTCTATTAAATCTAGATCTAAACCTAATATTTTTATGGTAACTTGAGTGCTATTCTATGGCAAGTGCATGAGACACCATCTGCTAACTCCAGTTCGAACTCCAGCATCTACACACTTTCGCTTTTATGCAACTCACTATTCTTAACTTAGTCACGTCACCATTTCTTTTGCCCACTGATTTCAATTGTAATTCACTTTGTAACAGCACGATGGTACTTTCACATCAGGAACTGCAGTGGTTCAGGGATAAATATTGCTCTTGCGAGCAACATACATCCTTTGTATTAATTTTCTGTAAGGAATCCTCTGTAAAAGCCTGGAAGCAAAAGTGATGAGAGCTCTCTGTACTTCTGCAGTCCTAACTCTATAACGTCAGGTCTGTTTGAAGCAGATAGCACCTCTGTAATCAATGAGAACTAGTCTGCCATTATATATTGGTTCTTAGAATAATTAGACAATCCATCTCTGGTCCAATTTGTTACCTTGTTCTTTTGTCTTTTCCGTTACATGTAGTGGGATAGGAGCACTGAAACAGTCCTAAAACAATTGAAACTAGCACAGCTGTTGATCCGGTCTTCCCACGCACGTGTGCAATACCTGTGATGGACGTCACAGGTTTATAGGGTGCTGCTGGAGAAGTCTTGTTCAGTTGCTGCAGTGCATTTTTGTAGATAGTAAACAGTATGTTGACAGTCTGTAAACAGTTGAGGGATAGTGGGAGGGGTGCTACTTAGGCTATTTAATATGTTTGGTTCTATGTAATAGTTAATTCTCTTTTAATTGATGTTTTTAAATTTCAGTTCACTATGCTCGGCCAATAATAATTCTGGGGCCAATGAAGGACAGAATTAATGACGATTTGATTTCAGAGTTTCCAAACAAATTCGGTTCCTGTGTACCACGTAAGTACTTCAAAAATATCATCTTATCCATGAAACATCTACTTTTGGATTCAAAATAGTGACAAACCGTTGTGAGTTCTGACACAATTCACTTGGGGAAAGTACATTGATACTCAAGCTTCACTACTCCCAGGGTTGCCACAAAAGTTAAAGGTTTGATTATATTACTGAAAGTGCCCAAGTTACATGTCTTATGGATTCGTGTTAACAAAAAAAAAGCAGTGATCAGGTTTCTGTACTTAATATGAGCTACTATTTATTACAAATAAATCAATTCCAACCACAAGGAAACACAAACATGAATTATTAACATATAACTTGATTAGCTGAAACTGTAACCCTTTCTTAAACCTATACACACACATGCACACAAACAAATAAATATGGATGTTAAGGGTGAAGGAAAAAAAAATTGGAGAAACACCATTCAATAGCAATGTCCATAGGCTTCAATGAGATATCTCTTTTGCTTCATCCAAAGCCTTCTGATCTCCATAGCCAAGGCTTTTTGATTCTTTGCTAAAGACATGGGGAGGAGGAGTTTGACACATTGTGTTCAGTTTTTCAGTCACTGAATAGGGGCAACAGCTTATGGCAAATGGTGGGAAAGAACAGCAGCCTTTGCTTTTTGTTTACTTCACTGCAGAGAGAAAAAAGATGCCGTCTCTTGCAATCTGAAGATCTTCTGTCTCTGCACTGTTCACACAGAAGCTGTTCAGGAACCAATCAGAGAGGTGTTCTGTTGATGATTCAGGATGAAGCTTTCTGTGATAACACACATTTTCTATTGCTTAAACAAATCAGTGGTGTAAATATAACTCAGTGGCTTGTTTTTAAAAGTACAGAAACTCCTGCAGTCCTTGGTTTAAAGTAGTCCTTTTCCCATTTTGGTTTAGAATCCGAAATGAAATTAAAAGATGTGATCTTTACAGTTCTCTTCAAAATATTACAGGCAATCACAGGGGATTCCTAGAAATAATGATATTCTCCCAGAAATCCTATTCTGCAAAAGTGTCCATTATGCAAACTATCATGGCATTTTATTGGTGTTTAATGATACACTACGATGCTAGTAAATAATAATATACAGTGTACAAAAATCCACTGATTTCAGGTACCTACTAAGTCCTTTAGTTTGAAAGCTCTGCTAACACCAAGTATGAACCTGACAATGCATAAAGAGGGGGTTGATTTATTTTTTATTATTCATGATGAATGATTAGAATAATATGAATCTGAGACAGAAGCATAAATTCTCTATTCATCAACTATGGATGGGTTCAATCTGAATTTAAATCAAAATCAAGAATTTCCTTGGAGCTGTTCTTGCCTTGCTGCTATAAATCCATAAAATTCAGGGGAAAGTTGTTGATGTTTCCATAGTACTTCAGTTGAAATGACTGTCAAAATCAATCATAACTCTTCTGAGAGAATTCCAGGCAAAAGATGATTAAGCAAACCAGGGAGAAGTGCCCCAATAAAACACTGCATGCGGTATGAGAGGACATCTAGTGGTGAAATTATGGCAGAATATTAGTATTTAATAATCTTTTAGAATTTTATAGCATAGAGATTTTGTACAAGCTGTAGCTCTTGGAAAGAGATCTCCATTTAATTCCATTCTCCCGACTGCCAATATCTGTTTTAAAATTCAAGTTTCTGTTTTCCTTTTAAAAGTTATCATGGATGGTAAGGTATTCCAAGTCTTAATCAGCCTCTGCCAAAAATATATTATTTTAATATCTCCAGTCATTCTTTTAGTGGCAGCATTTTCAAATTAATGTTGCCTCATGTCAAGGATGTCTACCTACACAGTTCTTGCATTTTTTGTGTCCTAATAAGGATCAAGGCTGTTACCTGATCTAGAACCTAGAGACTCTGGGTCATGTGTAGAAGGAATTGGTTTTGTGTGCATGAGGAATCTCTACCTTTTTATATTTGTTTCCTGAGTGAAGGTTTAATATTATTTAACTGTATGTGGCTCACTTACGGGTTTAAATGTGTTTTCAGTCCTTGCCTGTATCAAAAAGGGATTATTCCATACAGTACTGAAAGTTTAGTTTCACAGCATTGCCAAATATCATGCTTGGGTACCTGTAGCAATACACTTTAGTAGGAGAAAATGAGACAAGTATGGATTTCAATTGTATTGTGATCACTGCACGCTGCGTCATAGTACCAGGGACCTGGGTTCGATTCAACCCTTAGACAACTGTGTGGATTTCTGTCAGGTTCTCTGGTTTCCAGGCATACTCCAGAGATGTACATGGTGGATGGCTTGGCTATGTGAGTTGCCCTGTAGTGTTGAAGAGTGTGCAGGACAGGTGGATTAGCCATGGTAAATGCAGGGTTACAGGTGTTGAGGGGTCTGGATGGGATGCTTTTCAGAGGCTTGGTGAAAACTCGAATGGTCTCTTTCTGCACTGTAGGGATTCTTTGATTCTGAGAAATCAAATACAGGCAGTCCCTGAGTTATGAATGAGTTTTGTTCTGGAGTCCATTCACAAGTCAATTTGTATGCAACTCGGTACATGATGCAGGACAATGTAAAGCAGCTGTTCATAATTAAAGGAAATGTTCATATGTCAGGTCTTTAAAATTACAGTCCTGGGATCGCGATTATAAGTCCAAGCGTTCTTAAGTTGGGTGTTTATGCATTGGGGATACAGTGTAGGTAATTTAAAAGAAAATTATTCCTCAAGATCAGTCATGAGAATTTCCTACTGCACGGGGTAGTTGAAGCAGCTAATGTCTGTATTTAAGGGCAAGCTCAAAAAACATGAGAGCGGAGGGAATAAAAGGTTACGCTGTTAATGATAAGGTCTCAGCTGATGTTACTACTGGACAAGTCAGATCCCAGAATTAAATCTGGCTTGGTAGATCATATTTTGTTGTTTTTATTTAATAAGATGGTCTTCTACTGAAAAGTAGGTATGTAATGCTGCAGATTTGGTTTTAACAATAAAATAGAAGTTTATTGCCCAAAAGGAAATAATATAAAATAGAATAAGCAAGGCCATTTATATAAAACACAACTTGAAAAATTTAGAGACATAAAACAAAAATAACAATCCCATCTGTCGCAACACCATCTCTGCACCAACACCAGATAATTTCCTTCTGCAATACATCTACATGGTTCACTAAAAACCAAAAGAACTGCACATGCTGGAAATCAGAAACAAAAACAGAAATTGTTGGTCAGGCTCAGCAGGTCTGGAAGCATCTGTGGAGAGAAATGAGCTTTGGTTAACTTAACTGTTTCTTTCAGTTCTCAGTGTTGAGAGTTTGGTAACCTCTTCTTTGATTAATCACACAACTGAGCTTAGTCTGTTGCAACTACTGAATAGTCCTTCAGGGTTAGAACATAGAACAGTACAGGCCCTTCGGCCCACAATGTTGTGCCGACCTAATCTTACTAAGATCAATCTACCGTGCGTACCCTACATCTTACTATCCCCCATGTGCCAATCCAAGAGTCGCTTAAAAGTCTCTAGAGTATCTGACTCCACTACCACTGCCGGCAGTGCATTCCACAAGCCCACCACTCTCTGTGTGAAGAACCTACCTCTGACATCTCCCCTATACCTTCCTCCAATCACCTTAAAATTATGCCTCCATGTAAGTCATTTCCGCCTGGGAAAAAGTCTCTGATTATCCACTCTATCTATGCCTCTCATCATCTTGTACACCTCTATCAAGTCACCTCTCATGCTTCTTCGCTCCAATGAAAAAAGCCCTAGCTCCCTCAACCTTTCCTTATAAGACCTGCCCTCCAGTCCAGGCAGCATCCTGGTAAATCTCTGCACCCTCTCTAAAGCCTCCACATCTTTCCTGTAATGAGGTGACCAGAACTGAACACAATATTCCAAGTGCAGTCTAACCAGAGTTTTATAGAGCTGCAGCATAACCTCACAGCTCTTAAACTCAATTCCCCTGCCATTGAAAGCCAACACAAGATATGCCTTCTGTACAACCCTATCAACTTGGGTCACAACTTTGAGGGATCTGTGGACGTCGACACCAAGGTCCCTCTGTTCCTCCACAATGTCAAGAATCCTGCCATTAACCCTGTATTCTGCATTCAAATTTGACTTTCCAAAATGAATCATATAATACTTCCAGTTTGGAACTTTAAAACTGAAGTCATTACACTTAAGAGAGTCTATTTTCTAACAAGTCTCCCTTCTTCAGTAGAAACTGTTTCGTGAGAATGTCTGTGAACTGAAAACCAAAAGGTTTACAAGCTATTGACTTTACCCTAAACACAAAATAAAAAGTTCCTCTGTTCTGAAAACTCTTACAATGCGAACAATGCCCATTATCACCCCAGGGACTCCTCTTTCATACTGTTTTTTTTTAAATCATAGCTCCAGAAATACTGACAAGTTAATCATTAAACCCCCTCATACCAAAACTCAGATGCCACCATTTTAAAGTCTGAAATATAAGATAAATACTCTTAAAATGTAAACCTTACCTCACAATAGTCTGGTGAGGAAAGGTTGGAGGAGGCTGAAGTAGAACATAAAACACTGGCACACGTGGTTTGAGGCTAACTGGCCTGTTTCAGTGCCATAAATTCAATGTAATTCGTAACATATCAGATGAAATATAATTGAATCCACTGCTGTCCTTGCCTTGCAGACACCACCAGGTCAAGACGTGAAAATGAAATTGATGGGCAGGATTATCACTTTGTGACTTCCCGGGAGCAAATGGAGAAAGATATTCAGGACAATAAGTTCATTGAAGCTGGCCAATATAATGACAACCTATATGGGACCAGTATTCAATCTGTTAGAGCTGTTGCTGAGAGGGTAAGTACAGTTAAGGGTTACAAATAAAAATCTAGTTAAAGGGAAGGCTAACAGCAAGTTGCGCCATGAATAGACAATGCATATTTCTATTATTAAATTGCTGTGCAAACTATACGTACACTAGGATACTGTCCATCACCATGGCACATTCCCCATGAAAAAGTTCTCTTTTGAGTTTAGATAATTCTTCTTCATTGCCAAAATACACTCTTGACACTGTGTGAAACAAATTGTGTTGAAAATACAGCCAAGTATTTTTAGTTAGCAATGGAAGAATTGTAAATGAGTCATGGGATTACAGTTGGCATGGGCAAGTGGGTGGGAATGGGATTCACATTTTTTGTTATGAAGTGTATAAGACACTGGGAAGGGAAGGTCGGTGTTGCCTTCAGGAAATGCCGTTTACATATTGATTGGAAGCAACCCTGAAAAATAGTATTCCCTTTTTTTCCCCCCACCATCTGCTCTAAAACAAAATTCAACACCCAATCCTCCCTTCCTAAGCTTTTCAAAAACATCCTTGAACCAGTCCTCTGGACATGTTTTATGGAATCACCTTGTGGGCCTGCCTACAGTACCAAGAATACCCATTACTTAGCTTGTGATATTGCCCAGTACTACTGGAGCTATCATCCAATCTGATCAACAGGCAGATCCTGCTCCTTCACAAAAAGCATTAATCTTGGCAGTGGGGTGGGTGGGCGGGCTTCTGATGGTTGAGTCAGCTTCCAGCTGAATTTCCAGGGCAAGGTGGAAGTAGTGTATTCTCTTCCCCACCCCCTCCCCACTGCCACCAACTTACCCAGTAATTTTCAATCCTTAAAGTATGTAAGGTTTTATAATTGAGGTTTAAAGATATGCTTCTTGAAATGAGTTATCCCAAGAAGAATTGGCAGTATTTATAGTTTGGAGGCTTGAACGCATGTCAGACAGGTAAATTATTCTCATTAAAAAATGTGTATGAAGATATGACACTGTGCTTAGGATGATGGTGCTGAGCTTACCACGCCTGTTTGCCATCTGCTGTTGATTTTGTACGTTGACATGCATGCAAATCCAAGAAAGACTGTGTTTTTATGATACATCTATAAAGAGTTGATTTTGGCTGACACAGCAGAGAAGATGTTTCTAGCTCTAGAGTGGAGCTGGAGGACAGGAAAGAATATCGATTGGATGCAGCTCTTGAAAATTAGCTGGTGATCCTTGCTGGCATGCCTTATGTGAGGCAGCAGCAAGTCAGGCTCTTTAGGATTCCATAATTCAATAGTCTTTCAGTGCTTACTGTTAAGATGTATATGTGGAGCTTTGACCCAGCAAGATTCATACTCTTTAGAAGACAGAACAATATATTCTTCATAGTTTGAACTGTTCTTATTTTCATAGCATATTATCTTAATTTTAAGAACTGCAATTCATCTTTAATAGATTTGTTATTGAGGCTATTGCTTCCATCTTTGCAGGGAAAACATTGCATACTTGATGTGTCTGGGAATGCTATCAAGAGGTTACAGCTTGCACTACTCTATTCTATTGCCATTTTCATCAAACCCAAATCTGTGCAATCCCTAATGTAAGTATAACATTCTCTCTGTCTGGCTGCAAATGAGATTTTTAGAAATTTGCTTAATAAATGTAAGTGTTGCTGGCTAGGCAGGCATTTATTGTCTATCCCTAATTGACTGTGAACAGGTGGTGGTGAGTGGCTTTCTTTAATCACTGCAGTACTGTCAGAATATAGGTAGGTTTATTGACTATCATTCTACTGAATGATGCCATCATGAATGCTTTTAGGGAAAAGCGGGTATTTGTGATTCTTAAAGGTTTCCCTGTGACTTTTTAAACCTTCGTGGGAAACTAAATAAATGTAGTTTGAAAGTGAACATGCTACATATTCCACGCTGTTGCATTTAAAAGTAATGCTCTTTCAGAATTTTCTATTTTTTCCACAGTGGAAAATTTTGTTATTTACGAAGAAACACTGTGATGTCCACAGGGAACTTACTGGTGACACACTACATTAAATATTGCTGAGTATTTTTACTTACTGTAAAACTACTCAGATGCCACTATCTCAACAAAAGTCATTCATCCATTTAACTCAGCAGAACAGCTTCCAATAAATCTGTTGTTAGAGCTATGAATTTTATATTCCCCCAGTTTACAAAAGGAATATTGAAATTATGTTCCCCTGAAAGATCATTTCCTCGTAAATTGAACAGAAGTGATTGGCCTTGAATTTCAATGACAATGAACTAGATTTTCAGTTCAAACTGAGCATCTGATGTCAAGTTTTGCTGATAGCGAGCTTACGTTCGATCTGCACCAGCAGTGCACTACACATCATATTGGATTGGATTACTGAAACTTCCTTCAGAGTACGTGCAAGACACATGAAAAACAATTAATGAAATATTTAAATAAGGCTTCTACGGTTGATATTACCTTGTATGGGTGACTGATTCACACTATATTAGTCTTAACTAGCAACCTTTAGCATTAATGAGCAAAAAGGAATGTACACTATACAATTTAAAAGGGGCTTACTTTTTTTGACTTTTAAGACCAGTTTTAATTGAAAAATGTACCGAAAATATTAAACAAATTTGCATACTTTTTGAACTAAAATATGGCCCTGAATTCTTAAATGCATACATATGCTAAAAAACAAAACAAACTTAAAAACAAGTAGGAATTCTTCATATACTGTTGGTATGTTTTTGGCTTTGTCGAACAAGGCAGTCAGCTGAGTCACTAACAACCGAATACGCTGACGAGCATGTGGATCATGTGAGTGTACATTTTTATTGTCTACTTAATTGCCAACAACACTGATTTGACTGCCCATCAGTCAGAGGTATCTGAATAAATAGCAGCAATTTGTCCATAGTTGCTGAAGGATATGAAAATTTCTGTAGTTTTGGTCTAGATCTTGTGAAGAGGATTTCTCTTTCACAGTTGGAGAAGGAAGCTGGTTTCAACTTTGGCTTAATTTAAGGTATTTTTGGAACCATGCAAAGTTTTGTTGTACTCAACTGACCTTACTGAGGTTATTTTCTTATCATCTGTAGTTGTGGGTAATTTTTTGATACACTTTATATCACAAAAGAAACTAAAAGTAATTTTGACTTATGTAGCATTTTGCTGGTAGGATGGACTGTTTGCTGGCTTCAAAAGTTCGTGACTGCAGGTATTTTGAGGATGTAGTTTGAGGTGCAGCAGCAAAGAATAGAACACATGCAAGCAGGAGGCCACATCAACAGCATGTCTTTGTTCAGCAGTCATCTTATATGAATGTTTGTCAGCAGGGATGAGAAATTTCCACCGTTTGGTGGATTTCCAGTTTAAACATTTGTCCTGTCTCAAATAGCAAGATTGAGGAGTAGATATTTTGGAAGAAATGGAACTACTCCTCTAATTATATATCCTGTCTTTCTCATCTTAGATCATTTCTCCCAGTCTTGCTGCTGCTTCAGAAACCGAATCTGTAATTGGAGTGGCAGTTAAGAGTAGGAGAGAGGAACCCTGTGCTTGAAGGAATTGGAATGACCTGGACAGTTATTTTTTAGGATAGGAAAGTGAGACAGACAAGTAATGTTGTTTTATTTTTGAGAGTGAGAAAGGAAGAAGATCCAACAGCCAGTGATTTTTTTAAACAGAAGACTGGGAGAGAAAAGGCATTTGGAACCAAACGATTCATCATTTTCCCCTTTGAGTGAAAAACCTCACAGAAGGAAATTTGCTTTGAGGATTATTTTTGGTTATTGTGAAGATTCTGGAACTCAGTCCATCTGTGCTGGTTGCTATGGCTCCTGAGCCTCTGCTGGTACAGCCACCACCTCCTGCTCCTTCCCTCATGACCCTTTAAAAACATGGTCTATGAAAACTGCAAATTCCATGTTGGAGGTGGTCAGAATCAGCCAGCGCTTTTGGAAGATCCTGGTGAAACATCGGCAAACCAAGGAATGGGGTCAGTAATCCTGGCCACCATTTTTGAAGGGCTCCTAAGTGATTTGACCACGAAAACCTGGCTATCCCTCTCACACCTCGTCTGTTCACAATGCCCTTCTTTCCCTTTTCTCTTTTTCCCTCTCCACTTCTCACCCTCCTACTAACACCGACTCTTGCCCTGCTCTTCTGGGTGCACTGATACTTCAGTAAGATTTTTATTTTGTTCTTTTCATAATGAAGTAACTGGAAAAATTCAGCAACCTGGCCAGCTCAGGTGACTGTAATGTATATTTTTGAGCTTTAAATCTAACTGCGTTCATTCAGAATAGAATATAGAATATCCTTTATCATCACGTACTCAAATACGGAAGTACAGGAATACAATGAAAAGTTTACAATGTCGCCCCAGTACAGATCTTAGATACAAAATACAGAAATAAAGGGAAGAAAGGGAAAAAAAGTTACACTACTTACAGTTGTTCATAGTATAAGTTAAAAAATGAGAATAAAGTTCAAAGAAAGTAAGCATTACAGTCTTTCAGTAGATCAGCACAGGGAACTTCCACACGTGGTCTGCCCAAGTTCACAAGCCGTTGAGCGCCCGCACCGGTTCCCAGTCCAACAACCCTCTGGCTCTGCTCAGGCCTCCAGCCCACCGTTGTTCAGACACCAAGAGGGGAAAAAAGGGAAAACAGGAAATAAAAAGGAGCGGAGGAGCTCCAGTTGGAGCACTGTAGTCCGTCACCATCTTGACTGGTAAAAGAAGTACTTTTACAGTTCCACCTTTTTGAAATGGACCAAAAGATTTGGCATATTGACAAAGAGTGTTGTAATATCTCTTCACCCAGCAGTGTCTCTGTTGCAAAAATATTTCAGAATTTTTTATGACCATTTCATCCTGCTGAGGATCAACAGGTTGTGCACCTTTGCTTCAAAAAGGCTACACTAACCTAGGTTATATGCTGCAACCACAATTTTGAACCTCAAATCGGGGCATGGACAGCATTTTCTATAGCTGTCAATGTCACAGTTTCCCTTACCTTTCATTTAATCGGACCAGTTAAAATACAGCCCTGAATTCTTTAATGCATACATATGCTAAAAAGCAAAACAAACTTAAGAACAAATAGGAATTCTACTTCTATTGACTAGACTAAAAACAAAGTTCTGGAGAAATTCAGCAGGTCTGGCAACATCTGTGGAGAAGGAAATGGTGATTTTTACACTGTAGACGCGGGGAAAGTGCCCAGAGCAAAAGCCAAAATCAGTGATAATGGTGGAAGGGCAGATATTTTTACAGCTACCATTTGCATGTATTTTACATGAGAAAATGAGTTTTATCTGCTGAGAGCAAAGGTAACAAGGCACACACTGGGGAAGGTGGGCGGTGTAAGAAAAGTGGAGTACATATGTTGAAATTGTAAAGTTCATTTTTCCTAGCAGATGTCAAGTACTTAAGTGGAAAATGAGGTGTTGTTCATTTAACTTATGTTGATCTTCACTGGAACACTCTAGCAGGCTATAAGAAGGAAATGTTAGCATGGGAAAAAGTGGTTTATTTAAATGGCAAGGTTGGAGTAATTCCTACAGGCGTACCAGGAAAGAGGATATCAGCAGCAAATCTTACAGATGTATCTTGAAACTTATAGGTTCCCTACAAATCAGTGAATATCACAGAGAGGTGAGAGAAAAAGCTGCTCAATTTCATGAACCACCATAGCCAGATGCAGGGGTCAGTGGTGGCTTGTTGAAAAGATGCATCCTCTGGCTTTCTCTTGAAACTGGGAGAATTGTTCTGGCATAGCCAGAGGTAAGAATCAACGGGTCAGATTTTGCTGCTAGTCCCAGGAATGGAAAGCTCAACACGTGAGGAATGTTTGAGAACTCTAGGACTATACTCATTGGAGTTTAGAAGGATGAGGGGGATCTAATTGAAACTTACAGAATACTGAATGGCCTGGACAGAGTGGATGTTGGGAAGATGCTTCCATTGGTAGGAGAGACTAGGACCCGAGGGCACCAACTTACAGTAAAGGGAAGACCTTTTAGATCGGAGATAAGGAGAAACTTCTTCAGCCAGAAAGTGGTGAATCTCTGGAATTCACTGCCACAGAAGGCTGTGGAGGCCAGATCATTGGGTACATTTAAGACTGAGATAGATAGGTTCTTGATTATCAAGAGGATCAAGGGTTACAGGGAGAAAGTAGGAGAATGGGGTTGAGAAACTTATCAGCTATGATTGAATGGTGGAGTAGACTCGATGGGTCGAATGGCCTAATTTCTGCTCCTATGTCTTATGGTCTAAATAACTGAGAACACTTTGCAGTCACAGTTAGTACTCAACAGAACAGGGAAATGGGACTGCATGGAGTAACTTTTGACTGCTTGCTGCAAAGACTGAGGGGATGGTATGTGATAAAAGAGAAATGTTTGTTATTTTTTGTACTTTTAAGGTACAAGTTGCCTACAAAAAATATAGTTTTCAGTCAATAGTGCTTTTAGTCTTACATAAGTTTTAACACATGAAATCTTCATGCATCACCCTTTTAACACCACCATCTTTTAACTGGAAGCTTTTTTTTAAACATCATTGGGCTCCATGAAGCTAGTGTTCACCTCCACTGTTAAGAGGTCCAACTGGCTGTCTTTTAAATATTATTGAAAAAGTCCAATTTTCTGCTTCAACAGTGCACCTCCAGCATTCGCCCAAACTGGCCTGCATTCCATGAATAGCACCGTGTGTATCACAAAAACATAATGAAATTCCTCATAGTTCCTCTGACCACAAACCAGCATGTGATCCATCCCACTATTAGAAGTGTCACTGTTAAATCATTTGTTCAATTACCTGTAAAGGAATCAAAAGCGGAATGCAAATCTTCTGACTTTTTTTAAAATAGGGAGATGAATAAACGACAAACTGAAGAACAAGCAACCAAAGCCTTTGATAAAGCATTGAAGTTAGAGCAAGAATTTGGAGAGTTTTTCACAGGTAGGTGCGTTGCATGTAATTTGATACCTGCTAAGATCATTGGAAGGCAAATTCCTGCATTTTCGTGGTCTAACTGAGACTTGTACTCAGAGGAATATTTGGAATTTAACTTGGATGAATTTGAAACAGTAATAAGATACTGTTAACTGGAGCTGGAATTATCTTCTCACTGTTTCAGGGCCTTTCATCCCTGTCCACAGCCGATTCCCAATGGAATTCCTGTTGTAAAGGGAGAGAGCCTACCATTGGCCAATTGTAAAATCCACGGGAGAATATATCTATCTAAAAATGGCACTCCTAAATTATACCTGTCTGGTTATCAAAGATGCTAAGTATCAAAATAGAAGTACATTAGATGCAAGGAGCAACTTGATTTTTTGACAATGGCAGCATTTCTGTAAAAGTCTTTAAAATATGAAAGTACATTAGTAATAAAACGAGTACACAGTCGATCAGTCAGCAGTTTCGATTGCACCGACAACTATAATCCTCGGCTCAGTAAAAGGGTAGGGAGAGAAATGTATAAAGAAAATCTGAAAATCTTAAAATTTGGAAATCAGTTTGGAAATTAAATGGTATGTTTTGTTAAGGACTAAACTTTCAAAGATATAATGCAAGTGAATTTGGATGATATGAACTATTTTGCCAGCATCTTATTTGAATTTCTTTCACTAAACTTAATTTCAATCCTAATTTCTATTTCTCCTGCTATCTGATCCAAATTGTTGAGCTCGAAGGGGTGATGTCCAAATTGAAACCATCTACCAAGTCTTTGGAATGTATAACCTACATATCTGGCATCAACTGCCACTGAAATTTATATACATTACTCATTTGTGTGATAAACAGAACATATTTTTGGGTGACATCAGCTTGTTAGTGGTGGACACTAGTTGGTTTGCATTGCAGCAACATGTAACAGTCGGTTTTACCTGTTGCTCAAAATATTTGACATATCATCTTTTCACGGTAGTCAGAATCAAGAGTAACTGCTTTAGGGCTGTTCATGAGTTTGCATAATACATAGCGAGAAATTATCTGATCAGGGTCGCCATTGTCTCCGCAACATGACTTGGATGCACCCTTTCTCAGCATCATGTTTGCAGTTAACAATAGTTTTGGTGCTATTTACTAAGTTGCCACTAATGCCAGTCATGCAGAGCATGGAACTGTAAGAATCCCCAACGTGAATGCTAACCAATGAAGATAAGTTTATAGTAGACAGTATTAGAAAACCTTCAGTCCAATTTCTCAACTAAGGAATCAAACAGTGTGACCTTTCAGCTGTTCATAACAAGCAAGGTATTGATTGCATGTCCAGATTTGCAATACAAGCAACATGAGTATCTAACATTGGATGTGATTCTGTAATTTGACAATATTTACCAATTAATCCTGAGTGAGCTAGGAATTTAGGATTGTCAGTCAATGTTGTACTTGCGTGTACTGGAAATTTCATATTAACACAAAGGGCCTTTTTCTTTGCTGGCAGAAAGAATAACTACACATTGTGTCTGTTGTTTCAGATGAAAAAAGTACAATTATTTGCTGGTTCAATTTTGAGGGAAATGTCCCGATCAATCGAGTCAGTTTTCCTGGTTTAAAATTTAATTGTTACTGGCTGTTATTTGGCTGTTAACTGTGAATCAACTTCAGCGAGTGCATTCTCCGTGATAATGCTACTATCAATCAGCACACTCACTTCTTATGCACTGTAAATATTGGTTGTCCTCTTGAATTTGTAGATATTTTATAATCAATCTGTTCAGTGATGTTAGTACACACGTCTGGTGTAGGTTGGAGTAAACCTGGGCCCCCTGGCTTAGAGGTAGTAGAACTAACACTGCAAGCACCAAACCCTGAATTTGTATTCTTGCAAATTACCCAAGGACTGCAAGACAAAAAGCTTTGACAAAAGGTGTCTCTTTTTCAGCAATAAGTTCTGTACTACCAAGCAACTACTTAAAAGGTCAAATTTTCACTGTTGATTGACTTACTGAATTTTTAAATAATTTCTAAATTTGTTGCGAATTTCCAACACTTAGCTGTGTTTTACCTTTTATAAAGTAACTGTTTTTCTTTTCAACAGCCATTGTACAGGGAGATTCATTAGAAGAGATCTACAACAAAATTAAACAGGTCATTGAAGAACAATCTGGTCCGTACATCTGGATTCCTTCATCTGAAAAACTCTAAACATGGCCCAATGTTTAGAGGGAAGATGTTGTTGGGGGGGTGAAAAATCCTCCTTTTAAGATATGTTGCATATCGAGTTTTATCTTTCTCATTATGTTATGAATCCTCACCGTCGCTGTGGCTGTTTCCATTCTGCATGGTTTTTATGGAATTCCATCAAAGACATGGAAATGCACACCTGAATATTTTACAGAACATCTTCGGGAAACATGACCAGGATTGGTAATGAGTTTGTACGTTTGTATTACCTGAAGATCAGCTTGGAGAGTTTCATATCGACTAAGCAGTGGTTTTAAAGAACCAGTGTTCACAGGGGATTCTGTTGGTGCCAATCCTTTTGAAAAAAATCTATCTGAAATTTCCTAATACAGATAGGTTTGAAAAAAGAGAAAACCACTATTCTTCTGTGATCACACATGGCAGTGCTTTTAAAGACTGTACACAATTCCTCATTGCAGGAGGAGAATGAAGAGAATGAAAATCATAAAAGAATTTTAAATCATAATTATGGTACTGTAGATGAAAATATACAAATAATTTTCAACATATTAAATTGCACATTGTTTTACACATGAAAACATGGTTGTCTGCATGGACATTTTACATTTTTTGCTGTTTTTTTATGAAAAGTGATTCCAATCAGAACTGAGCAGGTGAATGATAAGGAATGTGTCAGTTGCTCAGATTGATGCTGTTGATGTTGCTTTGTATGAATGAAATGTATTTTTGTCTTTGCCTAAACCCTGTGTCTCCCATTTAGTGAAATTGATCATTCTTAAACAACTGGATTTAATTTGAATTTGTAATGGTCAAGTAACCTGCTTTACCACCTCTCCACACTTTTAACATATAATCAGATCTATTCAATTTGTTGGTACATGACGCAAGTATTAGCTCCTTTCACGTATTGACATATTCCCCTCTAATTTAGGAACCATGATATCTGCATTTTAAGTATAACATTTGAACAGAATGAGGAAGATATATGTTATAACCTTGAAAGTCTTTACCAACTGAGTGAGTTTTACCTACAAAGCATAAGGGGGCTGTAATAGTTTGACTTTTTCAAAGACAGTGTTCAATCCAAAAAAACATGATATCCAAATTGAACAGTGAGTACAAACCTTTGTAGTAATATTTTTACTCTTTTAAGAAAGAGTGGGGGATGTTTGGGGGGGGGGGGGGTTGGTGAGGAGCAGGCAGCAGGGGAGAGAAATATGAATTTACTTGTTACCAGAACATGCCATTGATGTTTGTGATGCAGGATGTAATTTTTGAAATATGTTCAAACCACCAGTGTTCATCTTCATACATTCATGATCGTTGCTTTTAAATCAGTATGAAAGCAGATAGAGAGCTCTTTAGTTACTAGAGTTTTCCTTGCAAGAGGTTGGTCTGTTCACCTCTGGGGAAAAACTTTAATTACTTGCTCCTATCCTTCACTGACCCTTGTTTATAAATCTTATCAGTGATCACGGTTGCACTCCATAAGATATCAATGTTGCATGTAAAACCAGTTCATACATATTTTTAGTGTAAATAATCAAACTCCACCTTTGATCAACAAACAAGTTATCCAGTAGGATTCCCCACAAGGTGACTGTGTCAACACGTAAGTGCAGTTATCCCTGGCCTTTTATTATAGACTACTGTATTATGTATGGCTGTTTATCTATTACACTGCAAAAATGTTATTTTCTAATGGTAGTTGGAAGAGTATAGCACAACAGGGAGGCAGATAGAAAAATTGCTGAATGGATTGAGAGTAAGACAGGGAGCCTGTCCCATCTTTTTATTTATTTAGTCCAACTCTCATATAGTGACAATGTGTGGTAAATTTTTCATGTCAAGTTTTGGCAGAAGGGGAGATCAAGTGCCTATGTTGTAATACTTAAGGCCATTCTGCATTTGGATTCAATTTCCCTCTGTACTGTGGCACAGCACTGTGATCTTTTAAATGCTCCACTTTGTAGTTGGGTTTTGCTTCCTCCTAGATACACAAGTTACGGGAATGGGCTTTATATTTCAGGCTGTGATTTTACAATTAAGAATATTTTTAACTCTCAGGGTTTCCAATGGAGTACCTTTGATAATTAGCCCGAGCATGGTAAATAATTCCACTTGTAGGGTGGGGCTTGTGTGCCTGTTCTTAACTCGGCCAAGTCACTGTACATATAGTAATAGCAATGAGATGAGATTGAATGCTGACTTCCATTTCCATGAGTTGAAGGGTTCTACTTGCCAAGATATTGCAGATGGACTCTACTTTTTCCATGCATTATTTTTGTAAATATTTTACTTTTTCCATCATAGAAATTAGTCTTTTATAGATAATTCTTCCCAAAGTGAACTAACAATCAAGCAGACTAACATTTTGATCAATTTTCACTGGGTTACTCAGAATTATGTTTGCTCAATTCAAACTGGCTCAACTTGAATATGTGAGCATTTCTGTCCAGCAAAATGACCCATGAAATTTTGAAACATACTAGAAATAAATGTGGCAGGTAACGTGCTGAGTTAAAGTTTTGCATTTTGCACTTTGCACAGATTAAACAGTGAAGTGACAGGGTTTAATGTTACATTCTCAAATCTGGAAACAGACAGAAATGGTTCTCAACCTTTACTTTAAGCAAATGGTAATCCCATCCCAATATTCAGTCAAAACTAAGCTTCATTTGTCACCCCTCTACATTTTTCTTTTTGCCCATGAATGATCAGTTACTGTTGGATTTCCAGTGACACTGATTTTTGAAATTATTTGGTGTTTGTGTTGTTGAAACTAGTATTCATTTTGTTCTCATTTTTAGAAGGGCCATGGCTTACATTAATTTATCTTCTCCATTAAGATTTTTTCTTGCCACATTTAAATGTAAAAGTTATATTTACCTGTCATTATATTCCAAACACATCATAATTTAGCTGCATGTTACATGTCAAGATTTGGAAGTTACACTGACCGTTTTTTGCACAAGATTGATCCTCCAAGAATTATTAGAATTATCTATAATTCCACAATTTCTCATTTGAGTGGCATTTGCTTCTGTTGCAACACTCCCATCCATATCTGCAACATGCAGCCTAGTCTATTGTATGATCACCAAGGCCTAGATTTTGCACTGCACTTAGTGTTTGAAAATTCTTTCTCCAGCTATTTTAACAAAAGTATTCATCTCATTATATTAGAAGTAATGCTGCCTTGTAATGTCTAAGATAAAATGTGCTGTATACCTGATGGCCTCCACCACCTGATAAGGCTTATTTTCTTGTACATGCATTAATGTAGAAAATTATAAACTTTAGCTGCCACAGCAGGAATACATTTAAACACCTTGGGCCAGTAATAATTTATTGTAAAAAATCAAATTAAATATCTACAGCAGCAAAATTTAAACTAAACAGAACTTTGCGATAATGAGAAGATTGCCCTGTCTAGTTCAGTTTATTATACTTTGATCATTATTTACATTTCATATTGACATGAGAAGAAAATGCAGTCTTTAGAGAGCAAATTTTTTTTCTTTGTTGGAATTTCTAATCTTAAGTAATTTTATGGTGTTCTGAAGAATTATAGGGTAAAGAAAATGCATGATTGAAGTCATGAGACATTTTTATGTGAACCACACACTAAAATATAAGCTGTGGAAAATCTATTTTAGGTTTGAAACAGCTGTAAATATTCAAAGCAACATTTAAAATGTTTTAACTTGGTAAAGCACTGTGCAAGATATTTTTCTCATTTAAATTGAGGAAATTTTAACATTTTATTCTTATCAGACCAATAAATACACTGGACCAGAGTATATTTGAAAAAATTCCATTTAAAAACTATTTTCATAGCTTGTAGCTTTTAAAACAAAATGGGTGGAGAGATTCATCTAATTTCTGTTATCAATACTGAATAATTTTAGCCGGCTAATAGTAAACATAAGTAATTCAAAGGGCTAAACTCTGTAGTCACAGCATCAATGAGCCGGATTTTCAACCACAAAGAGGCAAATTTTGGAAGAAAAAATGACCAGTTGAATTCCTAGTAATTAAATGGTTAAAATAATAGATTAAATTGTGACAAATTTTGAAATGTAGCCTATACAGATCATCCCTAGATGACATTTTTGCTCTATATCATTGATGCCCTTAGGTTGTAAATAGTGTGGAATAATGTACCAGAAAACTTTGGGTCCAACAAGGCCTCAACTGAAATTAGTATACAAGTGAGCATGAATTTATGCTATCCTGCTTCTGAGAATAACATGAGGTAAAACTCACAGTCGTAGTTTTATTCAAGCTTTTTCATTACGTGCAGACCAACAGAAATCAACAAGGGCCTGAAACTACAATGTAGAAATGTACTTATATTAGTAACATCTCTTGGTAATTGATATTTTACTTACCTTTGGTTATAGTTGAAATGAAAATTCACTTAGCTTTTATTTTGTTGGTAAATAAATAGGCAAAATAATAGTCGAATGGATTGGTATACTACACACATTAGGATGAGGCACTCTCCTATTCATCATCAGTTCCATGTTTGCTATGTTCCGATCAGATATATGAAAGACAACAAAATTAAAATCATACCTGTAAGTTGATGTGGGATCACATTACTGTTGTGTTAATTTTTGTGCCCAGCAGAGTGAAGGCTGCCAAAAAAGTAGACTACAGCCTAGGATATCAGTCCTTGGATTATAAACATTGTACATTCTGTTAAGAAACTGTAGCGGTAGTAGGGAATTTCCTGTGGTAGATTAGTTGTCCTGATGCAGCCGTTCTTTGCTGCAGTGACATATAAATGGATTGATTATCTTTTCCTTTTAAAAAACTCCATATTTTGAAATTGGTCTTTTGTAACCCAGGAGGGGATGGTAAGAGGCCTTCTGGTTACAGATGTAAAAGAGTTTGTTATTTTCCTGATTACATTATGTGGATACCTATAGGGTTCCAACTATTGCTATAGTGGCAAATCAAAGGAATAAAATAATTCCTGTTTTTTTTTTTAAAAATTGGCTCTGGCAATAAAAATAAAATCAGTTTACTTTATTTAAAATTGAGTAAAATTGTTGCTTATTTTCAAAACTTCCCAAAATTAACTGAATCCAGCATTACTTACGGGTTGTTATTTAAAAATATAAAACTAGTCTCCAACTCTTACCTCACCTAGTCAAAAGCAATTTTCCTGCTGAATAAAAATAAATCATCAACAGCAGGAGTGGGCAACTGATGACCCAACCCTCAATTCCTTGGCAAAGTTAGTGCTGGCTTTAATTTCTTACTAACTAGTTACTCCAACTTAAGTTTCTTTGAATCATTAAATGTTATAAAATGGCACCTTTGTGTTGTCATCTCATTGATGGATAAATAACAACTCTGAATATTGAGTCTTGCTAATATCAGCATTTTGAGGTCAATGTAAATTAATGGCAACATTAAAGGCCATGCAACTTCCAATTACATAATGATTAAGTACCTCTACTTCTCAGTGCTTAAATGCATGCCAGATCCATCCAAGCTTATCAAGAAATTAAGGATACAGACAGGGCTTATAATGTGGCAGAGCACAGTACCAATTCTAACAACT